AAAAGTGCCAAGAAAAAAATTTACTCACCTATGATATTAGGAATAAATAGAAACACATTTTCAGCCATTGTTCGCAAAGGAAAGATCTAAAATATAGGTTAACTTGAACCAAATCTTCAACTGTACTCTGTCTCGCTTTAGAACGCTTTCGGTCTGTTTTTTAGTTTCTCTCAGGGGTAGGGTAGTGAGAGGCGGTCGATGTTACTGATTTAATATGACTCTTTTCAAGAAATTCAGAATTTGATTTTCTCGTCTCGTTCAGAAAATAAAAAGAATTATGTATTTCTGGTATTTCAGTTACAAAAATAAAAAAAGGAAATAAAGAAAGATAAGCACAATGTTGTTGGGGAGGTAGGTAAGGCGAGGAATCTGGTGACGGATCGGGTGGATTGTCAATGAGGGAGTCACCCTAGCAACCTTTGTATCATAAGGCCTGGGGACGAGCCCAAACGACACGTCGCGTCTCTTTGAATGAGGAGGAAAACTTTGCGCAGTAAATTATTTCCGTATCGAGTTTTACTGAACTGATTTGTAATATACATGACCATAATATGGAATACGACGATGAAAACCATCACGAACAAAAACGCCGCAAACAGATCCGTGTTTGGACCGATGGTTGCTTCGATATGGTTCACTTCGGTCACGCAAATGCGCTTCGACAAGCGAAAGCAATGGGCGACGTTCTTCTAGTAGGCGTTCACACCGATGCAGAAATCACCTTACATAAAGGACCGCCCGTTTTCACCCAGGAAGAAAGGTACAAGATGGTTCGAGCTATTAAATGGGTCGATGAAGTGGTTATGGGCGCTCCATATGTAACTACGGTTGAAACCCTTGACGAGTACAACTGCGATTTCTGTGTTCATGGTGATGACATCACCTTGAGTGCAGACGGCAAGGATACTTATGAAGAAGTTAAGAGTGCAGGCCGATATAAAGAGTGCAAGCGTACAGCTGGGGTATCAACCACAAATCTTGTAGGAAGGATGCTTCTCATGACCAAGGAACACTTTGATAGGGCACCATCGCCAATAGGAAATTTGGACCCCACTCAGGTCAATAAGGCCAGTTCTGATCCATCCGCTAAGAGCCCTTGGACATGTGTATCCCATTTTTTGCCCACCTCTCAGAGGATTGTCCAGTTCTCAGATGGAAAGGAGCCTAATCCTGGGGACAAAATAGTGTATGCTGCTGGAGCATTTGACCTCTTCCATGTTGGTTTGCTAGATTTCCTTGAAACTGCCAAGAATGAAGGTGACTATCTTATTGTGGGCCTTCACACAGATCAGGTTGTCAACCGTTACAAGGGAAGTAACTATCCCATCATGAGTCTACATCAAAGAGTGCTTAGTGTCCTGGCCTGTCGTTATGTTGATCAGGTGATCATTGGTGCACCCTACAGAGTAACTTTGGAGTTGCTGGAACAGTTCAAGGTACTACATTCTTTACATAATTTTTGTGGTGTAGTTCAAGGCCTGCAGCTGTTTTGTGATTTTTTTTTAACAATATCATGATAATAATAATAGTAATACTACTACTACTACTACTACTACTAATAACAATAATGTTATAATAGTTATCATTTTAACAGCTGAAAGGATTTTCAGTCGAACCCAGAAGAGAAATTGTCATATGTATTCTCTATTTATGTGCATTCTTGAAGTGGATTGGTGAGCATAGTCTATTTGTTGATATATTTGGCTAACACAGGCTTGAAAAAATTATTAAACTTAATTTGCTCTTTCCTAACAGTCAGCAGTGAGAACAAACTGTATGGATTCATGGAGAATCTTCACAGTAGATATTTCTTGTTGAACATGCACCAATCAGTGAAATTGTTAATTTTTCTATTCGTTTTTCAGGTGGACATGGTTGTCCATGGTGAAACAAATGTAATGGAGGATGTAGATGGTACAGATCCTTATGAAATTCCTAAACAAATGGGAATTTTCAAAGTCATTAGCAGTGGTTGCCCGCTCACAACGGCTGACATTGTTGCTAGAATAATTAAACACAGGTTTGTAGCTATCCATTGCTGGACAACATTTAACCCTTTAACTCCCAAGATCTGATTGTTAATTCTCCCCTCTACCTGCTACACATTTCCTTGTAAATTAGTTATGAGAATGTAATGCTAGATCAAGATAGCAGCTTCTACCTGATAAGTTTGCATATCCTCATTACCTGTTTGCTGAAGAATGTATGGATATTGTAGGGAGAAGTCTTATGTTATTCACTTCTGGGAATTATAGGGTTAATAATAGTAATATGACTTTTGCTTTGTTGTTTAAATTTATCAGTCATTCACAGAGTGTAAGTATTCTCTTATCATCTGCTTTGTACTTGATGTTTGAAGATTATAACTTTTTTCTCCCAGCTCAGCTTGCGCAAATTATTGTGCAACTATTTTAATATGGCCTCCTGAAAATTTTCTGTTAACCAACTGAAATGTGATGCTCTACCCACCTCCCCTCCCCTCCCCCCAGTTTGTCAGTTGACTAGCAGATCCTATTCTCTCTCAACAAACTGAAAGTTTTTGTAAGAGAAGATAACAACTTATAGGCTGACTTGTTTTCTTCTCTTAAATTGCAACCCTGTAACTCAAAAGATCTGACTGTTAATTCTCCCCTCCAGCTGCTACACATTTCCTTGTAAATTGTTATCGAGAATTTGCTGTTAGTACATGATAACAACTTTTTCTACTTGTTAGGTTTGATTATTCTCAGTACCTATTTGCTGGATTAAGTACAGATATTTGAGTGAGAAGTTACATGTTAATCAGTACTGGGAGCTAAAGGGTTAAAATATCCGAGTTTTAATAACTTAATGGAAGGCAGAAGGGTTGGCTGATTGCTTTCAAGCTGTTGCTTCTGACCAATACAGGCCTGGTAAACATTTGTAAGAAATTTTTGCAGTAATATGTAGTATTTAATAGTTGTTTCATGTTTCTTTAGAATGCTGTATGAGGAGAGGAACAAAAAGAAAGAAAAGAAAGAAGCTGATGTTTTTGCTGCCATGGAAAGGAGAAAGTCACAAAATCAGGAGAAGTCTTGAAGAAATAGTTAAACCATGAACTGCTCTGTTTTTAGTTAGTTGTTCAAATGATTTTTACTTAGGTCTTAGTTCATAAGAAAATTTTTTGCATTTGCATGACTGTTTGGAAAAATAGTTTGGTAATATTTATGTTAATTAACTTAAATGTTCACTTTAAAATTTTCGTTTGTCAATTCTTTAAGGCTCTTTATTTTGTCTCAACACAGCTTCATGATAATGCAGTTTTAGGTCCTTAATAAAAAGAAGTAACTACCTTTACATAACCTAATATCTTATTTGCACTTATAATGACACAATTGAAAACCACAAATTGGCATTATAAACAAACCATTGATTGCTGTAGTTAAAATGTCATAATGGATTTTGTTGCTTTCAGAGACAATTTCTCACAATTACAGTACCTACAAATTAATTTGTTTCAAGCTCTGAGTCAGCAAAGGGGAACAAAGAATGGTATTAACCACACTTGACCGTTGTCAGGGACAACGTCTCCAGCCTCTTTAAACCTGTAACTCCCAGAAGTAATTCACATGTAACTTCTCCCTACAATATCCATCCACTATCCAACAAACAGGTAATGAGAATACTCAAATATATCAGGTAGAAGTTATCTTGATCAAACACCAAATTCTTGCAGCTAATATACAAGGAAATGTGTAGCAGCTAGAGGGGAGCATTAACAATCAGATCTTGGGAGTTAAAGGGTTAAGCCCATTCATTGTTTAGTTTGTCTCCTCTTACAGTGAGCTTGGCATAACCTATGTACAAGTTGTATATGTATTAAGATCAAACACATTCCCCATACAGGAGTTTTCATTTGGTCCTTTTGCAAGAGCATAGTTACACATTTGTAACTCAGAGAGGTATGAAGACAAAGGACACTCTTGCACCCAAATCTAGTTGGGAGTTTTAACAGTAGCATTTTTTTTGTAGTATTACTACAACAGTCTGGAGATGACTGTCTTTAAATAATTATTCAATGGATTGTTAAGTGACTAAAGGTGCAGTCAGTTTTGAATTTTGAAGACTGGGTTGTTGTGGACATTAATTTTAGTCAGTCAGTTTTGAATTTTAAAGACTGGGTTGTTGTGGACATTAATTTTAGTCAGTCAGTTTTGACTTTTGAAGACTGGGTGGTTGTAGACATTAATTTTACTATAACTGAATTATTGAAGGATGTTTTAGGTGCTCTACATTGTTCTAGAGACTAACCAAGTATTTTCACACATTCACGTAGTGCCACATGTTTTAACAGAATAGAGACCATTCTAATATATAGAGATTACACAAAGTGTCAGTACTTAAATATTGTATTGGCATAAAGGATTGTTCCATTAAGTGGCTTCTAGTGTTACTAAAGATGGTTGTTCTTGTCTCTTTCCTCTTAATGCAAACAGTTTTAAAATTCAAATAAAATTGATGGCAAGGGAATGTTGTTGTGTTAGTGAATGTGTTGAGGGTGTGGTTTCATAAATTGCATGAAAGTTAGTTTTAAATACCAGTAGTAACAACACATTTCCCCCAATTCAGAGCAGCAAATTGCACATTTGATTTTGTACTTTTTTATTCATTTTCTCATTTCCATTTGTTTCAGTATTTTCCATTTCATCCAAGCTAATATACAACTACGACTTTCCATGAATATGTACTTGAATATGTATTATAAAAAAAAAAATGACTTCTTATTTCTCCTAATGATCTTATTGCTTTCTTGCACATCAGATCTGAGAAATTCAAATCATTTTCATAGATTCCTAACTGATATCACTACATTAGCATACAGTGTGATGATACTGCATGGAGTGGTTATGCATCATACAGTTCTGACAGCTAAAGGTTATTAAATCAACAAGTATTGATAACAAAATAATAATTTGTCAAATGAATGTATATATACCTTCTCACACCAAACTGGTGTTAATATAATAAATTCTCATGTTGTGATCCTACATGAAGTGACAAAACTTTAAAATGATTTTCACAAGAAAGTATGTCTTCAAAAATGACCATTGCTTAATGACGGGATAATACAAGGCAACGTTAACACACAAAGGACTATGAAAAATGATTTTCCTTGTTACTTTGATGCGATCAATCTGCTTAACTGCTTTGCCATTTTTCATGTTTTCTACCTGCAATGTAGTGTATCTAAGATGAAAATCATTAAATAAGCAATTCAAAAAAATTGTGGTAACAATCAGAAAAACTATCCCTTTGTTTGAGACTTATTCCCTTGAAACAATCTTCACACGGATTCCATTCTTTGGTGCCATTGTGATTGTTGCCTTGAGCTCAAGAGGTACCTAAAAAAATTAGAAAACATTAATAGCTACTAGGCATTAATAAAATCTTGCAAAGAAAACTGAGAAAGGAATGTTCCACGAGGCACCACAAGACACCACTAGCAGTTGTCTTTATCTAAAATCAGGTTACATAGAGGGGTGAAAAGTTATTTCAAACTCTTGGTTTGAATATCTTAGTCTTTTGACATTTTGGAGCATAAATTTTAATTTTTATTACCAAAGATGTTAAACCTTGGAGGGTAACCCTTGAGCTACAGGCCATTGGAAGTCTGTGATCACAGAGGGTTTTGCTCAATTACAAAGAACACTTCAAGAACTTTCAATGAAACCTACAGCCTTCACATTAGAATTAACAACCAAAAATTGGTGGGGTGAGGTGAAATTTACTAGGCTCCTAGGTGACACTGCATTGGGTTGCTCCTGTGAGTCTCACCTTCACTGCTGTAACCTTGACCAATCTAATGCAAAATTTATGAGTCCTTAGCTGACATAAATCAAAGTTTTACATTTAAAACAGATACCTCAGTCTCTGCAGAGCACTCAAACTTAAACCTCTTAAGAATGTGAACCAGAGCCATCTTAGCTTCCATGAGTGCAAATCTCATCCCAATGCATGAGCGTGGCCCTGTGCCAAATGGAAGGAAGCAATATGGGCTGCGCTGCTGTTTAGCCTCCTGGGAAAACCTACAAATAAACATAAAAACATAGCTATGATAAATAATGTGAAAACTCCCGGTTCTTGTCTGATCCTGTCACTTAAGCTCTTGCAAGTGACTGTAAATGCATTTGTCTATTAAATAGTCATCCATAAGAAATCAGAGTTGATGAGGAGAAAGGAAAATATAAACTAAGGAACATTCAGATTTTATGGAACAGTAACTTCTCCACGATAAAATTGTATGAAACGCATCACAAACATTGTGAAGGATTACTGTTTAAATCTTGGGCATGAGAGGCTTAGTTGACTTGTTTGTAAATAACTATCAGTCAGAGTACCTTTCAGGATCAAAGGTTTCTGGATCTGGCCAGTATTCTGGGTCACGGTGCAAATGATAAACAGGAAAAATCACCACTGAACCTTTAACAAACTGCACACCATTTAAGGTACAACTTTCTTTAACAGCACGGCCGAACCTGAATTAAAAAAAAAAAAAAAAATTAAAGAAAATATGTGGTACTTTGGTTTGGAAATTCCCCTTTAAAAGTTATTTTAAGTTCTTGCAAGGAGAGGTTTCTTTGTAGTTTCCAACAACTAAGCTAAACCTGTCCAGTTCTTAACACTTTTTTTTTATATCAAGAAGTTGTGAATAATTCCCATCAGCATAGCATTCAAATGATTCATAACAGAAAATACACAACATACACTGACTGTTTTAACAGTAACAAAACATGATTAAAGGACAATTTAAGTCTGAATGATACATTTTAAATGGAAATGGAGAGGAAGTTTTCAGTTGAAATCTGTTCTGATTACATGTAATACAGTTGGTAGTTACAACTGTCTGTGACAGTCATGATAACAAATTCAAACTCAAAACTATGAACCTGAAAGCGGGAGGAAAGAGACGCAATGCTTCATTTAACACCATGTCCAAGTACTCTAAGTTCTGAACTGTGTCATAAGCAGCATTTTCCTGAAATTAAAAGATCCAAGCAGCTTTTCGGTGAATCACTAGTTTGATGCTTGACAAATAAATTCCATGTTGCCATTCGTATGTTCAGTCAGTGATCATGTGTCACAAAAATGTGGTAAGAACAAAAAAAATTGGCAGACAACATGCAGCTGAGCGTCACTCATATTATCACATTTTGACATCTTCTGTGATCTGTAAGTAAAAATACCCAAGGCAACATGGACTCTATTTGTTTAATGATTACAAAAGAGAAGCAAGATGTTGTTACTAGACAGTGACATCACCTATGTGTCCATTTATAATCCATCCTATACAAGAACCAATCAAGACAAAAACTAGTATAATTTAGCTAATTATGTAAGAGAGAATAGAATAAAATTTTTGGCTTGATAAAATTTTTGTCACAGGCTAGAAAATCAGTTCTCTCAAACTTGCTTTTGAAAGAAGATATTTTTTTCACAGGTTGTTGAGGTCAGGAAGGCTATAATTTTTAAAAATGTATCTTGAAGACAGGAGATAGAGGTAGGTGAGTAGTCCTGATTATCAGTAATTTGTGGCTGATAACAATAAGACAGTTCATTAAAAAAATAACAATTTTTTTGTAAAAATTTTCTATAAAAGTGTCAGATTGCACAAGTGAAGCCTACTTTAGATATTGTGCTTGAATGGAGGCAAATGAAAGTTAATGAATAAATTCCATGTGTTCAGCCTGGCTCATATTTTCTAACCTCAAAATGTTTTTCACATGAACAGGACAAGTCATTAATTAAATTTGATCTTAACTGCTCATGTTACATACTGCATCTGAGCTAGACCTTAATACAGTAATCATGAAATGTGGGAGACTTACATCATCTCCAACAGCCCCATCAATTTCTTCAATCAGTTTCTCTTGCACTTCAGGGTTCAGTGCCAGACAGTAAGTCGTGTAGGCTAAAGCATTGCTTGTTGTTTCATATCCAGCCAAGATGAAGGTGAAAGATTGTGACAGAACTTCACCATCAGTCAGTTTACTAACTTTCTTCCCTTCACTGTCTGTGACCTCTGCTTTCATCATCAACTCCAATACGTCTTTCCTCTACAACAAAGTTCAAAAGCCAAGGGCAATTCCCTCATCAATACACCTCTTTTTCTTGGTTTTCTCTTGGCTCCATTTTTGATGTGATGTTGAGGTTCAATTTCATATACATTGTATGTTTCATATCTAATTTATCTTCATTTGAAACTCATTATCTAGAATTATTACTGCCTAAAAACAAACAGAAAGTATTATGAGAACTAAAGATAAATTGAAGCACTTCAAAACAACTCTGGATCACACTTGCAATTCTAATAACAAGATAGTAGTCTCAAGGAACCCATCATTTTCAAGTCTACCTGTGCAGCTCCAGACTCTCTCCTCATTCTCATCACTTCTTGTGCAGCTTTAGTTAAAAACATTGCTGACTTTGATCGTTCAGTACTTTCCGACCTCAGTATCAGCTTCATCACCAACCGAAACAACCGTGCCATAAATGGAAACACCACTGCCAAAAAATTAACATTTACAAGAAATTGTACGAAAGGAAAGGAAAACACAGCATCAAATACATGCAGTCCCTATCCAATTTACCTAATCTAAAATTTTCTCATAATTGCAACTGTTAAAACAAAATATAAGCAGAATGTTAAGTGTCTTATGATCAATCAAACTGGAGATCAGGACAAACGGGCAATCCTCAAAATGACAGACTAGTTCTCTCCCTACTGACTGGTTTGTTCTTCTTTATACAATAACTTTCCAGTCTGAAATAATTCTGATGTCCATTGTTTCTTGGGTTTCACAATCAACACTTAGTGTAATAGTTCTTAGTCTGATAACAGTTCATCATTTACTGACAAGATTAATTACAGGTAATTTTTCATTCATGTTCCTGACTGCATCCATAGATTATTTGATAACAAATTGTTTGCTGATCACTGGACTAAAGCAACACACAAATGATCAACTTACTTAAAATAAATGAAAGAGGAGGCTGTTTAAAAAGAACCTCTGCATTTGGAGTGTACTGCTCATTGGCATCATTCTGTATGTCTGCCTGGACACCAAATGCTGTAGCCAAGATTACTTCCATGGTGAATTTTCCATAAGTCCTTCAAGACATATTTATTTGCTGCTTAGAAGCTTAGACTTACTGTCAAAAAATGGTGACTGTTAAAAAAAACCACTCTTATTAACCCTCATATTCACTTAAAAGGACCCTTTTTTCAACACCTTTTTGTGGGGTCTTAGTAAGGAAGGGCAGTTTAACACCTTAATTAAACACTGGATCATAGGCTGCTATATTTTGGCTAAACAAACTTACTTACAAAACGACTACAAAGTGAGTTTTCCACCAGAAAGCTCTTGCTTTACCTAACTAAGAAATCACTTTTTATAAAATCTATAGCTCATCCCTAATTAAATCTCAGTTAGCCTTGCTTTCTTAAAGTAACAACAGTAGTAATGCAATAAAGAGAAAAAGTAATCACAGCAGTAAAACAAATAAAATTATGTGAACCTTTCTGCAGCAGGGTATTCGACAAGAGAGAGAGAAGAGTAAATAAATTTTGACAAGTCATTAGGAGGGTGCAAGCCCCTAAGCAAAAGAAGGAATGCTTAAAGAGCGATGAACATATTCAAGTCATTTATAACACCCAGTGACTCCCATCAGGAGAAGGGGTAATTTGTTTTAATGATCATGGCCTGTTATCAAGACATACTGCTGCACAGCTTGATAGTGTGATGATTTCATTTGAGCTTGTCTACAACAGAGTGCTGCATGTACATGTACCTCCACATGTCCACTATCTCTCCTGTCTTAGCAATTTGTTCAAGTTTTTTGCCCAGTGTCTTTGCTGACTGGTGAACCAAAGGGGTAATCTGTAAAGAGAAAGACGAAAGTCAATGTCCAAGTTCAGCACAAGATACAGCCTGGTGTTCATGTACCAATAAAAAGAATTCTAGATTCTGAAATGATCTTAACATCAGTATTATTTGAAGGATATTCTTCATTGTTCTTTCATGAACATAAAAAAGATGAAACTAAATAGAATATCCTTTTTTGCCTTCCAACTAAAGATGACACAAACCTGTTTAAGTTTCAGTGCACTGAATGTTGGAGTGATTGTAACACGGATTCTTCTCCATTCTTCATCTTCAAGTGTTAACAAGCTCTTGTTTTCAAATATAGACTGACTTCCAATACTCTGTAAACACATTTCAACACAGAACATCACATCAATCACAACTAAGAAAAACATTATTGACTGATAGAATGTTCAGTGAAGATAAAGAGCAGACCAAAATAGACACTTGATGTATTACACTATCTTCACTATGACCATAAATGTGTTTATCATGTACTTACAGAAAGTGGTCTGTTTGGGAATTTACTAAATTCTTTCACAGTGATCTGCTTGATTAGATCAACATCCGAGATCACATAAGTTGGTTTACGACCAAGATAAACCCTACAATTATAGACAAGAAATATTTTAATGCTTGACTGCATCTGTCCTTGAATGGCCAGACTTGTAACTTAATGGTTGACTGCCTTATGTTATCCCCAACTTTTTTCTGTGAAAACTTCATCTTAATTCTAATGATAAAGCCAACCATATCGTTTTCCTTAGCCTTTGACAAAACCTATTAATTTGAAATATGACACTTCTTTATCCAGGAACTCTAAACCAGACAGTGCTATGACAACATTTCCTCCAAATTAGTTTAAGAAATAATAATAACAATTTGAATTCATAAAGTGCAAATCACATGAATGTATGATCAAATGCACTGTTAACTTGGTCAAATATAATTTACAACATATTAATATGTCTAACACAAGGATTATATCAGCTACTTGCTATGTTTACAAACAAAGAAAATTCTTATTCATTTTCAGCCTGTTAAAACAGGTCCTCGTATTTTTACTCAGGAAAGTTTAGGATTTTTTATGCAGGTAGCATAGGAAAAAGGTGCCCCTAGAATATTTGGACCCAACCCTAGATCCATGACATCATTGTCCCCAAACCCTGTAAAAATTTGACTAACCCTGCTACTCTTCCATACTTCTCAGCCACTTCTTTGTCAAACAAAAACATTTGATGGGGCTGAAATCAAAGCACATGATAAATAACCAATTAATGCTGAAAATGCAAAGAATTATTTTTGAGGCAAGTTACATGTTATTGGTACCATTCATCAAACAGGGTTCAGGGATATTAACATGT